GTCATGTAAAAGTCATATTCGACTAATGTTTAGGTGTTCATCATTAGTTACTTAGTTTTATGTTTATATTGTAAATATTTAGATTAATTAAAATGGTGTGTTAATTTTGTCCAGGAGATTATTCGCGTTTGTCCTTTATTCGAATACTTACAGTAATAATCGAAACATTCGATATATTAGCGATTGTTTTTCATTCCAATGATGATAATAGAGGACTTCTATACAAGGGAAGTGCAACCAACTTAACAAAAATAAAATTGACACTAATAACATAAGAAATCGGGTCACATAAAGAGGCTGTTTTTTAGTTTACTGTTTGGTTTTTCTTACCTACTTTTATGCCATTTACATACCATGTTGTACCCGTAAGGTAAAAAAGACTTTTTAGTTTAGGGTATTTTAAATTTGAAGGTTGAAAAAATTTGTCAGTGTCAGCTGTCAATTAGGGTGATGATAAAACACAGGCGTAACCATAGATGGGCATAACGTAACTAGTGTTGTATATAGTTGTATAGTGTATGGAACTTGATTTTGCAGCAGCATCATTTTTGCATTTGACATAAATATATAAAACCAAATAAAAAAATGTTTAAAGAAACCGGAAGAAACACAAATAGACTATTAACAATAAAAAAATAAATCGCAATGCTACGCTTATGTTTTGACATTATCGACAGCTGATATTGACAAATGTCTTCAACCTCTAAATGTAAAATACCCTAAAATAAAAAGTCTTTATTACGTACGGGTACAACTTGGTATGTAAATGGCATGAAAGTAGATAAGAAAAACCAAAAATTTAAAAGAAAAACAGCCTCTCTATGTGACCCACATACTTTGATTTTCTTTTACTATACGGAGAATGGTCGCACTGCGCAGCTTTCTGAATGCCTTTTAAAAGGAGATAGAAAACTCCGCCATTTTGAATCCTTATTACGTGCAATATTTTTAATACGTGCGTTTTAATCATCCGCTTCTGCTTCGGAATTGTCGGTTTTCTTGTTTTAATCTGACAGGTTAAAACGACTAAACCGATAATTCCGGAAGCAGAAGCGGATGATTAAAACGCACCTGATATTTTGCTTGCTGCTGTCAGTGTCAGTGAATATTATTTTTGAAGTCACAGTTTATTGCTAAAGAATCAGTTAGCTCACTCAGACCAGTTGAAAGTTCCAAAATAACATCCACTCCAGGGATACAAATTCAGGATACGCAGAAGACTGCTGTTTTATTATAGGCGGTTGTCATATATTGTATTATCCGAGTTGCACAGTGTATAAACTGGAACATTGAGATTAAAAGTGCCGACGCAGAGTAAGCGATCTGATTCTTTAGCTGTAAACTGTGTCACAGGAATCAAAATGGCCGCGCCCTATGTTAGGCGTGTCGGACCTCTCTCTTGCCCCGTATAGTAATCAAAGTATGTGATGTGACCCGATTTCTTATGTCATTAGTGCCAATTTTATTTTATCAAGTTGGTTGCACTTCTCCTGTATAGAAGTCCTCTATTGAAACATTCAAATTATTAGCGATTATTCTTCATTCGAATTCTTTCAGTGATAATCGAAACATTCGAATGATTCCAATAATCGGATGAACGATTATTTTCAATTCGAATGATCCCAACTCCAAACACTAGTTTTCACTGACACGTGGTGCGATTTGCATACATTGTTCAGTACCGCTCGTTTGATAATGGGTGCTATGATTGAACGTTTACGTTATCCGTAACGTACATGTTAGGCCAAGTTTTAATAGTAACGAGGCAGGTTTGTATGATGAAAAACTGTTAAATTAGAACATAATAGGCGGAAAATATCAGTTATGTATTGGAAACCGTTTTTCATCATACGAACTTGCCTTATTACTGTTAAAACTGAGCCTAACATGTACGTTATGGATAACGTAAACGTTCAATCATATGACCCATTGTGTAGTTTCGGCTTGATTCAGTTGATTTCGATAGTGACGTTCGATATGAATATGCGTCCCGCATTAGAAATATTTAAAAATATTTAATTCAGATAAACATGACATTTTCTTTTTAAATTGTTTTTTTTAATTGTGCATTTTTAAACTTATATAGTTATATGAGCTTTTTATTAACTTTACAATGATGTAAGACAAGTATGGGGGTACTATCTTTTTTGTAGAGGTAGGTGGCGCATAGAGGGGGGTGCTTTTTGTATTTTGTCATTTAGATTCGTGTCCTAGAAATCATTTTAAATATTTTCTAACATCATCCTTAGTTCATGAGATATATCCATTGTCAGTTTTTAAATTGTCACTAGGAATAGAATAAGTGATTCTGTTTCGTAAATACTATTTAATGACAAATATTTTTTTACATATCGGGCGACCCATAAGTTTCAGGTCAACTAATATCTAAGATCTAAGTAATTTAAGACGATAAAAATAAAACAAAAATATGATGCATGTGGAATGAAAGTCTTTTATAGAGTAAACTGAAATCAACGCCTGTCAAACCATCTTCTACTGTAAAAAATAGATTGACTTAACATAGGAACAAGATGCATCATAGGAAATAGTAAATATTTTAACCATACGTTAAGGACTTTAAAATATTAATATTTTGCTAAATAATATTGGCAAAATGTCCTAAGATAAAGTTAAAATTAATTTTTCGTTTTTTGCAATATTTTCGTTTTTATTTATTATATTGACTGGGAATTTAGTATGGTTATATTTTTGGGCTATTTAATGATAAGCATGTTATCAATGTTGAGATTAGACAAAGAGGGCACTACTTACACTCTACTGGATGAGGAAAAGTTATTTTTTTTATTCTTGGTATTTCTTTGTGGTATGTATACCCTTTAAATTTGAACAAAAACGTATACTTGTTTTAATAGCATAAATTCAACCCATTTCGAAATTTTCTAGTCACAGTATCTATTTAATTTACTTTACAATATTTCAACAAAGTAGGCATGACAATAAAAATAAAAATGTACAGCTGTAATATAATTAATCGTTAAAGTAAAGTTAATAACTGCAAATTCCATCTAATTAGTTAGTGAAAATACCCAGACACAACCATTTCTCTAATTCAGTAGACTATAGGTGGTAAGATGGTGCCATCTTTGTCTAATCTTAAAATTGATAACATGCTTATGATTTACTAGCACAAAAATATAACTTCAACAAAATACTGCAAAAAGACGAAAGATAAATTTTCATTTTATTATTCAGAAGTAGAAGTAGAAGTAGAAGTAGATAATATTTAGCAAAATATAAATATTTTGAGGTTCTGAACCTGTGGTTAAACTATTTAGCATTCCTTATGAAACAAATTTAATTAACATGTTTCTAGGCGATGGGTTGAATTGAATTTTCATCAAATTTTCATAAAATTTTCATGAAATTTTCATAAAATTTTCATAAAATTTTCATAAAATTTTCATAAAATTTTCATAAAATTTTCATAAAATTTTCATAAAATTTTCATAAAATTTTCATAAAATTTTCATAAAATTTTCATAAAATTTTCATAAAATTTTCATAAAATTTTCATAAAATTTTCATAAAATTTTCATAAAATTTTCATAAAATTTTCATAAAATTTTCATAAAATTTTCATAAAATTTTCATAAAATTTTCATAAAATTTTCATAAAATTTTCATAAAATTTTCATAAAATTTTCATAAAATTTTCATAAAATTTTCATAAAATTTTCATAAAATTTTCATAAAATTTTCATAAAATTTTCATAAAATTTTCATAAAATTTTCATAAAATTTTCATAAAATTTTCATAAAATTTTCATCAAATTTTCATCAAATTTTCATCAAATTTTCATCAAATTTTCATCAAATTTTCATCAAATTTTCATCAAATTTTCATCAAATTTTCATCAAATTTTCATCAAATTTTCATCAAATTTTCATCAAATTTTCATCAAATTTTCATCAAATTTTCATCAAATTTTCAATTTTTTTTTGAGATGTTTATCAACTATTCATGAAATTTTCATAATATAAAAATTGACCAATAATTTTTTCAAAAGGGTGTGATTTGACAAATAAACCCTTAGAAATATACGAATTTTTGGGTTTAATCTAATGAAATGATTATAATATTTAATCATTATTTAATCCAGACTAATTTTTTACAATTTTGACCATTAACCGTAAAAAAATATGATATATCTGTGATACTAAAGTAAAAAATTGTGTTATATAAACAAAAATAAGGTAAAGTGTTTATTTGAGATCACCATGTAAGAAACTTTTTATCCCATATACCATATTTTTAAAATTTTTACTTGTTAAATAACATGGACGACACTAGCTGGCCAGAAACCTTTACAAGACATCCGGTATATTTTGTTTATAATAATTTACGTATGCCAGGTTAAAAGACCATGGGTTATCCAACAGATAAGCTAGTATTAAAATGAATATATCAACAGAAAACTGCTATTTTTTTAATATTTATTTTCGTTAATATGCTCAATTTACGAAAAAAACATGATTTTTTTTTTGGATTATTGCGTTGACAATATCTGGTAGAATTTAGTGTAGGCTGCTTTTCGGATTTTACATTTTTGAACTAGATAAAAAATTATAGACGAATTATAACACTCAAAAGTCTGAAACATGGTCTTTTAACGACAATAAAGCTTGTTTTCTTCATCATTAAAACAAAAAATGGTATATGATCTGCGTTAAAAGTAGAAATAGAAGTGTTATTAATTAAAGGTTAACCGATCTTAAGTTGACAGATATACTTATAATTAATAAAATGTACGAAAGTGTAATTTTCTATAAAATACAATATTGAAACAAGAAATCAACACTTTCCCAATATTATTTTTTATAGTTTCATATAGAAAATCACTATAAAACTATTCAATAATCTTGTCCAATTTTCTGAAAAATTTAGAATATATTACTGTTTCTTATTTTCACCAGTTAATACCAAAATAAAACCAAATGTAAATTAGCTAAAATAAACAATTACTACACATTCTACTTACGATACTACCACAAAGAGATAAAATAACGGTAATGAACACAAGCACTGAACTAATTCCGGCACAATTATTTTTGGCCATGTTAGACAACATACAAATTCATTAAATTTGAATCATGTGTTGCCGCTGCTCGATGCAGTACTGTTTGGATTTGAATGTTTTTGTCGAATCTCTTGCTTTTATATGACCACGAAATCAGCTGCGTACTCCAAGAAATATTTCAACGGAGTATGTGTTTTATATAAAATGTGTTAAAATTTGTGTTAACATAGATAACAAAGACCTCTAATTAATTTCTAAAATTAAAATTATTTATTGTAAACAAATTGATTTAAGGAAGGCGCCTTGTTTCAGAAAGTATCTAACGGACCTTAAACATTATTTTTTGGTTTCCAAAACGGAGAAAGCTAGCTATAAAGTTTAAAGACATCTAGTAGGCGTTGATATTTTTGCAACAAATTTTGTCTAATATTTCAATTTAGTTATTTACAAGTTTAGTTGGTAATAGTTGTCAAATATTTCTGATTGTTTGTAAGTTACACAAGTTTAAAATAATCCTTTCATCAATAAGTGATAGAAATGAACAAAGAGCATTATCTGGCTGTGATTTGTTAAAATTTCAAGCGTACACGGAAAAAAGTGACTAGCAAATTTTACTACAATGTTGTAGTAGTAGACTCATAGAAATATACTTAACTTTTTCTAAAAAAATTTACTATAATTTATAGTTAAAAACTATTCATTATTGTAATAATTGAATTGTCGAATAAAATGCTACAACAATAAGAAAGAAGACGACAATATTTAGTATATTTTACTATGGTTTGTAGAAGTACAAATTTATTACAGTTATTCTAATTACTATTACTAACTTCTGTTAAAATTTGTACAAATATTAATAATTATCTTTAGATAAAATAGTAATTTTCTCTACAAAAAATAGTAATACTTTACATCCCTTCTTATGATAAAAATTCAATTTTGTTGAAAAATATTCTATAATATTGTAAGTCATGGGAATAAAACAGAATTCTGCTATTGGCCAAAGTTTTCTGACGTCGACCATAAATGGTCAGACAGCAGTAGCCGTTCGCCATGTTCACAAAACAAAGCATGGTACATATATAACACATTTTTATATTATAAACAGTGATGGTTCGAGAAAATTTTAATAATAACTTCTATTAGTGGTAAGTACATTTATTATTGTTTCTGAATAATTTACCTTTAGATAACTAATTTAAATAACCTTAGTAGATTATTTTAATAAAAATAGGTCTGTCCAACGATTGAATGTTGTGCCAAGTTCGATGATGTTTTTTCGTTTTAATTGTGACATATCTATTTTCTCATTTTTTTTAGTTCTCCGACGTAGTCATTTAATATCTCAATCACTGTAAAGGGATAGATATCCCCATTTTATGGGTATGAACAGTTCAATAAGTATTACTGAGGCCCTTCCTATGGGGCCTCAGTATTGCATTCGTGCAGACGAAAACATTTTCTGACCCCATTTTTTGAAACTTTTTTCCATGTTTCTGATCATTCTGAGTACGAAAATCCAAAAAAAAATTTTCTTCTGGTCGTCTGTGTGTATGTATGCCGGCACGATAACTCTAGAACGATTTACGGTTTTAATTTTTTTGAATAATTACTTCTAACTTAAAACCCTATTGATTTTCAGAATTTTCGGTTCATCCTAACTACTTTAATAACAATTTTCCTAAAATTCACCTATGCATTCCTTATGTGACAATTTTATTAATTTAAGTTATTTCTACGTCAAAATTCCTAACATTTTTTATATTCCATGAATTGCAAACATTCTCTAACGGCCTGTCAAACAACAGCTGTTGATAGTAAAGGTGAAATTTCTAAAGTGGGTTGCGACCTTCATACTTGCAACCATATAGCCATTTTGGAGGCTATTTTCATTCGAAATTAGTCGCTAAGCCTGTCAATTTATGAAAAATATATAAACAGTTTCTTAAAATTGACTTTTTTATGATGGTGCTAATAAGCGTACTACTATTTCGCCCCAAAAACACCTTCATCAAATTTACTGGTTCTCTGTCGCAACCCCATAGAATAATTAACCGGCCATTTTATTTGGCAAAAATCAAAATAATGCTTGGTTGTGCCTGTCAAGTATCAAGATGTCAACTGTGATATGTGAATGTATCTTAAATGTCAAATTATTTAAAAACGTATACTTCTTTTGATATTTATTGCAAATAATAAATATCTCAATTCAGGCTTTCCATAAATAAAGGTACAGCAAGACAGATAATATAATGTTCTTATACAAAGCACTTTTTTTATTATATAAAAGAGAGGTAGGATATAATGCCCATTTCAAATTTGGATCAATTATGTTTTGTTGTGTTTTTCATTTTAATTATAAAGTTGTCAATTATTTGTATGTTGAAAGAAGGCCTTTGTAAATTACATTGCTCTCTATGGATCTACTTTAACACAAAAATAGTTTTGTGGCTATAAGTTACTTATCGTCGCAAAAATATTAATAATTTAAACATAGTAAGTAGTATTAATATAACATCAAGTAATTTTTTAAAATAAAGTACTTGATCTGAAAACAAATAATCTATAATAAATGCGGATAAAACGAGGGGTAAAATAACAATAAATGGCTCAACTTTCGTTTAGTCGAAATGTGTAATGCAAAAACTGTTGTCATAATAACAATTGTGATGGCTATGAGTAAACAGAAACCCTAATCTTATGGTGAGGAAATGCGTAGTTGCCAAGTTGTAGATGATTACGGTTTTTGTTTAATTTCATTTAACTGAAATAAGTTATGCAAAAAATATTGCCATGGGTACGCTTGTCATGTTACCGACTAAACAAAAACCCAAATCTCGTGGTGAGAAAATGCGTAGTTGCCAAGTTATAGATTATTTAATGTGCACTTTAATTTAGCCGAAATCAGTTATGAAGAAACTGTTGCCATGGAAACGCCTATTATGCTAACGACTAAACAAAAACCCAAATCTCGTGGTGAGGAAATGCGTAGTTGCCAAGTAGTGGTTAGTGGGTGGGTGGAACGAGCTTAGCGTGATCTTACGATGTAGGTGGAAAAAGGGCGCGCCCGGCCGACGTTTCGAAATTGGCGCGCGCGAATTTCGAAACGTCGGCCGGGCGCGCTCGCTTCGCTCGCTTTCCTTTGTAGTAGTTAAGAGGTGGGTATGAGGAGCGTAGCGTGATCTTACGATGTAGGTGGTAAAAGGGCACGCCTGGCCGACATTTCGAAATTCGCTTCGCTCGCTTTCCTCTGTAGTAGTTAAGTTGTGGGTGGGAGGAGCGTAGCGTGATCTTATAGAGAAACTATTGCCATGGAAACGCTTGTCATGCTAACGACTAAACAAATCCCGTATAGAGAAAATGACTAGTTACCAAGTTAAAGATGGTTTCATTTTCACTTTAGTTTAGATTAGGATATTGTATTAAGAGTTAATCTAAATCTAAGAGGCAACTACGCATTTCACCACTAGATTTAGGTTTTTGTTTAGTCGATATCACGACATCTCCATAACCGATTTCATCTAAACTAAAGTGAAAATTAAATGACCTGTAACTTGCCAACTATGCATTTTCTTACCACAGGATTTGGGTTTTTGTTTAGTCGTTACCATGACAAGTATCTCTATGGCAACAGTTTCTCCGTAACTGATTACAGCTGAATTAAATCATCTGTAACTTGGCAACCACGCATTTCCACACCATGGGATTTGGCTTTTTGTTTAGTCGTTACTATGTCAAGCGTTTCCATGGCAACAGTTTTACCATAACTGATTTCGTCTAAACTAAAGTGAACATTAAATAATCTATAACTTGGCAACTATGCATTTCCTTACCACGAGATTTGGGTTTTTGTTTACTGGTTACCATGACAACGGTTGCCATGGCAACAATTTTTACGTAACTGATTTCGGCTAAACGAAAGTTGACCTCAATAAATTAGGGGAAATACTTAAAAAGGGCATGTTTAAAGAGTATTATCACAAGAAAGTATATCCGTTCTGTTTATTTATCCAGTATTGTTTGAGGTTACTTTTGAATACATTTGTTTTTTTTTTTGTAGGTAGTCTATTAAATTTTTTAAACCTTTAATAAAAATTGTATTTTGGGAACTTTTAGTGATGGCTTGCCGTACATGAAAGTCAGATTGGTTTCTTGTATTATAGTTGTGATCTTGCTAATTATATTGAATTTTTTCGAATAGATCTGATGCGATGGTACTGTTCATTTTTATTTTATAAATAAATATCATTCATGTATTGAACATAATTCTGAACTGAAAGCCAATTTATTTCTTTTAACATAGTTGCAATACTTATCCTTCTGTCCTTTATTAATAGAATATTAATAGGCGAAGTAAGAAGCCCAAATATTTTACATGAGCAGGCTTAAGAGGTATAGAGGCCAATTATTATTGGATAAATTGCTCAAACAAGTTTATAAACTCTAACCAAAAGACGATATAGAATAGTTTTAAAAATCAAGGCTTGTTTTAACATGGTTTAACCTAAGTAATGCCAATGCTTCACAAATCAAAAAATTCAACGTGCTATTACTACTATCGGCTTTCGGTATTTCGTTCCAAGTTATATCATTTCTCGTTTTTGTTACGCTACGAGTTTACCCTTGTGGGCCTCAGTCTCGATAAGGTGGGAACCACCATTTTAGCGTCTCTTGAATTTATTTTTATTTTATATGAGACTGAGGAAGCTAATATTACTGTTATTTATTACATAATGTAATTAAGACTTTGTATCTTTTTTATTAAAACAATAAATTTTGAATATTTTATTAAGGAACATTTTTTCTTGGTTATAATTATAATTATTGTGGAATACTACTACAAATTTTATTATACATTACTACAATTTGTTTCAATTTTTACTATTTATTGTGTAAAATTTTCGTAATAATTTTCATGAAACTTAATATATTTTTAATATAAATTCAAATAATGAATAGCAAAAATTATAACAATTTGTAAAACAATTCTTATGATGCATATGGATATTTTTACTACATATTGTAGATAATAACTCTACAATATATTCTCTACAAAGATTTGGAAATTTTTAATACAAATTGTCTCTTTCCGGTGTCCCTACATGTACAGGGTGTCCGGTAATGAATTTAAGGGTTTAACGCAATAAAACTTACCCCCAGAACATGATATATCAG